CACTGACTGCAATGGGATGCATGAGGTGGCTGTGTCGGCCGGGTGTGTGACCTATTGCAACCTGCCTTTGGACCCAGAGGAGCGGAGGCGGCCCCAAATCAGCACGGCAGCCCCTGGAGATGTGTCCCGGTAGGCCACAACTGAAAGAGGTACTGGGGCCCCCCCCCCCCCGCCGCTTGTCCCATCGTCGTCCCACTCCGAATGTCCTCCGCAGGCTCCAACCACCTGACGCGCACACCCAGGGAGACTCTCAGAGAGCCTGGTTGCCCTTTTCTCCCGGAAAACCAGCCCCTGCCGTCACCCCAGCACGTCGTCGCAGGTTATAGTGGGCCTGGATGCAATGGGCTACCTGAATCGAGGACAGGTCATCCTCCTCTGTGGCCGGCAAACAAACGTTAATTTCCTGAGCCAGCGTCAACATTTTCTCAAGCACCAGAGAATCCAGTCCTGCCTGCTCCATCTTTGGGTACGCATCCTTGGCCAGCGACAGCAGTGCGCTGCAGAAAGCGCGGGGTGTCTCTGTCTCCCCCCAACTCTGTATTACGAATGTCTGCCGCGTTGGACGGCAGTTCAAAAATTGCCGCCAACTGGGAGTACGCTTGACGCAGCTTCGTTCTGTCCACCTCCGGAATGTAAAAAAAACGCCACCAAGGCTGTCATCCAGTGCGGTGGGAAGAATAAGTAGCGCCTCCGCATCGGACCACCCTGCGAGCTCGCAAGTGGTGGAGAACCGCCGCTGGAAGGCCGCCCAAGCACCCCCCGCAGCCTGAAAATTAATTGAGAAGCGGCAGCCGCTGCGCTAGGGAAGGTGCCCCCGGATGAGCTGTCGGCGGCAGGTTAAAGGGACCCAATTCCTGCCCTCGGTCGGCAGTGATGGTGGAGTCGCCCGCTCGCCACCCCCGAGCCACAGCCCCTTCCTTCGGCTGTTCCCTGCCCAGCTGCCCCACCAGGGTCGACACTGTGGAAAGCCGCCCCACGATGCGCTTGCCGATTGCCCGCAGCCCCCCTTCAGCCGGCGGCGGCGCAGAGCCGTCGCCCTTTGCTCGCTGCCCCGCCGGGATCACCACTCCGGGGCCCCCCACAAGGGGTCCCGGTTGCCAGCCCTGCCCGGGAATCCTCCTTGCCCGAGGGTATGCGGGTGAGAGCCTTCCTCTTCACGTGTTTCAGCATAGTCTATTTCCCCCTCAAGGATTCGAAGAAAAAAACATTCATAACAACCCTAAAATATAAAAAAAATTTCGTTAACACGCCTGACACCAAATGTTGTGTTCTAGTTCACAGACACTAATAGGAGGTACTCTATCTCTTTTATTCCGACCTTCAGAGCCTTAGGGGATAACCACACACCGGGTCGGGACAGCCAACATGCTGCCAAACCCACAGCTGAAGAGGGTGACGATCACAATTACGACAGCACGACGAATTCCACTCCAGATCGCAGCTGCCCCGGCTGTGAGTTGGAGCTCGCCTTATATCCTGAAAAGCGTGGCCAGGCTCCACCCTCGGCCCTGCACCCCTCTGGATCCTTCAGATGGCTTCATGCTTTGCCCACAGCTGCAACTGGTAGAACGGGCTGATAGTCCTAATGCCATTGTCTACCAATCTCCCAGCGGCACGCGCTCCAGTGACTCATTCCACGTCACCACACAAGTGTGTGAGCATTAGCTGGTAATTAAATCAGTATCCATCGAGCAGTGGATTAAACATGTCCGATGATGATGATGAAGAATTTAAACTGCAAGCATACACTTATATTTTATTAACGAAGAGCGTACAGACATTAAATGGCTCAATCGTGGCATGATGCCTCAATCTTCCACCTATCTAAATATGGCAACATAATTGACGTGAATAATTTCACACATTAAACTCATATTGCACACGTGTATATATTCTGCGCGAAGATGACTGAACAAAATATAATATATAATGCCAACCAACCGAATAAATGTTCCGTGTAGTTAACTGGTTCACAGTGGGTGTCCATTACATGTGTAGTGACATATAATGGGTCACTACGGCACCTAGTGCCATCTACCGACAGAGAGAAGAATAGTGGGTATAGTAGCCCTCTGCCAGCAGAGTATATGTCATGGTAGACGTCTCTGGGGCTGGCAGAGTAGGGGGCAGTTGAGGATGTAGCAGCCCGATTGGCCGCAGGGGCACGTGATGGCATGTAGGCCAAAGGTGACAGAGGGGACACGTGTTGTAGGACCCAGTACCTTCTAGTGAGTTCCAGAAGGGGGCGTGGCCGAGGGCAGAGCCAGGCAGGGGACACGTGGAAGGCGATCCAGAACCTTCTAGTAAGTTCTGGATGAAATCGTGTCCGAGGGCGGAGCGGGACCCCGCTGAGGGGTATGAAAGGGGGGTCCCGGGGCTGCATCAGGGCTGTTTGCTGCAATAGAACCCGCCTTGCTACGTCTTCTCTTCGGTCTTCATGCTCAGCAACTTGGGTCAGGCAGTGTGCCGACTGACCTGATGCGTTTGTGTCGTTACCCCATTGTGGTCATAGAATAAATGTGTTGCCTCCTGAATCAGTGTGTCTTTCAAGTGAGCCCACTACACGTGCACTGTACTTAAATACATACGAAAAAGACTTAGAAATTACAACTAAGCTCATCTGAATTATACGTGAGGCTAACAAGATAACTACATTGTAAATTGAGAACGCCGCAATTAAAAAAAATTACATAATACTATCAAACTTAGTCACGTATTATTGATGTAATAGACTTGGAGTGAGTTCAACTGAGTTGCAGACATAGACTTGGAGGCAACACATGTATTTAACTCCAACACACGGGATAACTACCCCTTAACAGAATAACAACCTATGGTGGTGACCACCAGGCTAACTACACTAATTACAACGTACCGAGCTACTACGGACCGGGACCACAGCTCGGGTCCAGGTCCACGTATTGGAGACTCATTGAACTGAGAACGGAGAACGTAGAACGTAGACAAAGGTTTATTCAAGGATGAACAACAACGCCGGTCCCTCTGGGGACCCAGATTATATTCTCTGCGG